CTACTACTACTACCACTACCACTACTACTACCACCACCACTGCTACCACTACTGCTACTACTACTACTACTACTACTACCGCCACTGCTGCAACAACAACTACTACCACCACCACCACCACCACTACTACTACCACTACTACTACTACTACTGCTGCTACTACTACTACTACCGCTCCTGCTGCTGCTACTACTACTCCTACTCCTACTCCTACTGCTACTGCTACTACTGCCCCCACCATCAAGTCAAAAACAATGCTGGCGGTGTGTGTAGCGATGTCACCATTGAAGGCGATATACCCATGACCTTACCACACAGAAGGAGTTTTGACCGTCGCACGTCTGCTTCCATGTCCAGAAAGTCTGCTGCATTGTGAAAACAACCTTTAACATAAGTAAGGTTCAAAAGGTGGAAAACGATAATACACTCACCAAATTGAAATGTGCAAGGCCCACATAACAAATAAACAGCGTCGCTCATATGCAAATTTCGAAATCCTGTGGGTGTTGTGGCCTAAAGTTAGATTGCGCCGTCTTCGGGACACGCAAAAAATACGTGCCAGAGCAGAGAAGAGGACTTGCGGTTGTTTGCTTTTGGCCCTTCACCCTGAACATTTCTATAAACAGATCCGAGCAGTCATTTTTCTTGGAAGATGCTTGAAGAATCATGAATACTTCCATCAAGGTTTTTCACAACATTGAAGATCACTGCTAATTATTTTGGGCAGTCGCGACTACCTCAAAATAATTCTTTGGGGGGTCTAAGGGACCCAGAATAATGTATTTGTTCTATTTTGGGTGGGTGGGACAGGGGGACCCTTAAGGGACTACCCATTGATTCATCATAGTTTCCTGAAACTGAGGGACGAAATCGGGCGAATGTGTTGTATATGTTTTCTATTGTTCCGGAGAAAAACTTGAATATGATCACAATCAGCGTGGTGGAGTGGTGGAAGAAACGGCGATGTTCACCGTCTCGAAATGTCCTTCAAAACATTATGACTGCCTATGGCAACCATGGTATAATTCACTTTTGGACCATGACACAAACCTATTATAACCAAATTTACCCAATTGTGTTTCTCATTGTCAAAGTCGCTCCTACATGGCCTTGTTGGCATGCCAACTCTGAAAAGAGAATCACTGGATCCGACTAAGACACACAGAAATAGCAGGCACATTAAAAAGAGGAAACACATTGACCATAAAAAATGGTTCATGATGCCCCAGTGTATGATTGAATTTATTATTAGTGTTTATGGATGGTTTCTTAGTACGGTGGCGTCGGTATACAACCTGGAAAACAACATTTTCCGCGATGGCCCGCCCGTCGCTTGACCTTGGTCGCCGAGGTGATCTACATCTCTTTGAAGCGTGGCTCTGCTGAGTGCGAACACTAGGAAGGCGACTGGACATCGGATGGGAGCGTTCCAGCCTTGGTGATGGGGGAGGGGAGGTCAGGACAGGACGTCGAAGGTTCTTGAGTGAGATGGGGTGTTGTTTTTCAGGAGTTGGCCGAATGCTCAGGCGTTTCAGGGTTTTCAAGCGTTGGGTGCAAAAGCGGTCATGAGAGTCTCTGGAGGGAGGTATTGAGCTTCTTTGGTGGGAAAGGGAATGAAACCATTGGTCCTGGTGCTCAGTTCTTTTGTTCCTACGACCTTTCTGATTTCTAATCAAGTGGGAAACATGTGTTTTGTCTCTTCCACTCACGTCCTTGGGTTTGTCATGTTTGTCAAAAGATGCGGCATCACAGTGTCACAGGCTGCAGATGTGTGGTCACTCCACGTCAAGACATGCAGAGATTCTCCTTTGCGACAACATTCACGACTCATGGGACGGAGGAGATTTGCACATTCATCAAGTATCATATCACGGTATCTGCATATATCTTCTGCGACTCCCATGTGAAATTTGACTTTCAATAGATCCTCGTTTGGCGGAGAAAAAGGTGACTTCGATGGTCATCAACTGTGTAGTTTCTCCGACGGATGAGACCTTGGAAAGCTAAGATAATTGCTCGAATTTGCTGGGTGTGTGATTCATGGTCTGGGTTGATAAGGGAGTGTGATAAGGTGAAGTGTGTGTGATTCATGGTGTGGATGGTGGTGTCAGACATGTTCATGTTCAACCTTTACTTGGGATTGAACCCACAGGTCCTCATATTTTTCGTTGGTGGGTTGAAACCACCAACTTCGGGATTCCCTAATCATTATGTTGTTTTCTCGCGTTTACCTTTTGCTTCTGCCTCAAAGAAAGATCCACAGAAAACGATGCTGTCAAATGTATCGGCCATCTTATGGCGAGTCATCCCCAGAGAAGAATTGTGATATGAGACTCAACACACCATGCACACTCCCTACAAAGAATCAGCAAGAACATCGTTGAATGATGTTGAATTCATCGAATTCACTCAGTTTGTTTTTTTGGTGTTCACCTGCGTTGGAGCGCAGGTCTGGTTTGGGGCGTAAAGGGATTATTCTATAGGACCCCGTGGATCCCAGTTACCGACTATCAGTAACCAGGTTTTCGATGTGTTCGTTTGGTCTACGGTTTATATAGTCTTTGGAACGTTTTGGAACCATTGGTTATACCTACTAAGTTACGATAGTGTAACTGGATCCACTAGAAGATGTACGCTTTGACCCATTCCGCTTGACGACTTGAAACTGGCCACTCGCCAGGCTGCCACCAACGGCCACAAGCTTCCACTCGACTGTGCAAAGCTCCAAGCCACTTTCCAAAAACACCAAGAATCAGAATCTTCAAAGCTTGGGCCCTGGGTTTCTACAAGAACCCCATCATTTTAATGGTGAAAGCCTTGATATTCCATGATGTTCCTTTAAACACTCTGATCATGAATTTCGGGATGATGTCGTAATTGTAACAGGTTGCCAGCTGGGGAAACCTAGTGCATGGTGATTTCAATATTATATATACCTAGAAGATCCTTTGGGCAGAAATTCTTGCCTTTTTCGGGAAGAGCGGCTCTTCCCGTCCTGGGGCGGAAATCAGCTGTTTGCCGCGGAAATATTTTTGTTGCCGCGAATATTCCTTTTCAGGAATCCAGTCAGACAAAGACAACATATTCTACAGGAGTTGAATATTTTTGTGGTTTACATTGGGCATTTCTGCCTGGAACGGTCACCGCAATGAGAAAAACCAATTTGCAGCGCTTAAGTTTCCACCTCCACCTGCAAATCTGGCTACCATCATATCATATATTATGTGTCTTTGTTTTTGAAGGTTTCTTGTGCGGAATGATCACAAAAGGACTAAAATCAGTCCAAAGTTGAAAACACCTGGCGCGAAAATGCCCGGGAAAAAGGCAGAAATACCCGGGAAAGAGGCGGAAATACCCGGGAAAACGGCGGAAATACCCGGGAAACCGGCGGAAATTTCCTGGTAGAAGGCGGGATTCAAGAACAGTGCCTTTGATGCCTTTGAAGGGCTTGAACATATGTCGCAGCCTCTTTGTGAATGTCATGAATTTAGAAGTGTCAAAATCGTAGGGTGTCAGATCTTGAGATGTGAAGCTATGCAGAACGATATGTGGTCTGCAATAATGGAAGAGACAACCTGGTAGGTTGTAATGGTTTTTGAGTTGCTATGTTGGATTTTGCTTGAGGCAAAAATTCCCTGCTGCCCGCGGAAATTCCTACCTGGCGCGGATTTCCCCTAAATCCGCGAATCCTCCCGGGCAAATCGGACTGAGGCAGAAATTTCTGCCCCAGGTGCTTCTAGGTATATATATTATATTAAACATAACATAACAAATTTGATAACATAGTATTATACATAATGTATGTATAAGTTCACTGCCACTCCGGCCCTCACTAACTCAAGTCCGCCAGTCATGTCAAAAAAATATGTAAAAGTGGGACCCACGGAGCTTCCAAGTCCTCAATCCCTTGGAGCCTTTTGCTTCTTTTGGATACGTACCAGCACCCTCCTGGCCAGGCTGTGAGTTGAGGGTTGTTGGACCCTGTCTCAGGTCTCTATCGGTGACCTGTCGGAGGGTTCTGGTGTATATATATATATACAGTATATATATATATGAGAGAATATGCCTCTCCCCGGCTTCCCAAGTCCACGCTGCACACGCAGCCGAGGACGGTGGACGGTTGTTATGGCACCGAAGCATCAAGGCGACAGGGCGCGACGCGACGGCCGCGGTACTCGGCGCATGAGCGACTGGTGGCAATTGTGTGTTTCGACTGTGGCTGGAAAAGGGGCGGACAAGAAGATGAAGAGCTGGAGAGTCACCAAAAAAGGTGCTCCTTGATTTTTGGATGGGATCATTTAGAGAGTCGGTTTCACAACAGGTGGTGCACCCCGGATAATTCAAAGTTGAGACCTTCGATCGGAAAGCTGGAGAGCCTTTTGTATTACGAAGAATCACATGGAACCACATGAGTTTTTGAGTGAGACATATGTTGGATATGTTTGAACACCCCAAATCTGTGAGTTTACACCTTGCGAGTTGTTTCATACAAACTTTCCGGGCTCAGACCACTGTCACAAGAGCATTCTTACTCGGTGCACCGAGTCCAAACGCGCACCGAGTCTTCTTGACAGGTGGACTCAAGCGCAATGGATGAGAGGGTAGGGACTGGTGGATATCAAACCATGCTGGATATTGAGGTGGTCTTAATGGCTGGTGAGGCACTGACTTTGAGAGTCCCCGATTTCAGCACCGGCCGGGTTCTCCGCAACATGCTCCGCAAACAGATTCCACCCAATGCAGGAAGATACCCGAGCCTGACGTACAAGGGGTCAGTGCTCTCTTTGCATTCCACTTTGCGTGAGCAAGGCCTTGTACCTGGAGATGCAACATTGTCGTGCATCTACCGTCGCACCATCGCCTATCCAGCCTGGTGTTGCCTGAAAAAGCCTGACGAGATGGCTCTGGATGGAATGCAAGACGGTGTGACCAAGGTAGAGGGCATCATAAATCTTGAACAGGTCAGGCATCTTCCAGACAGCCTTGAAAGTTTGGCTTTTGGGAGATCCTTTGACCACAGCTTGGAGAATTCAGAGTTTCCGCGTTGCCTTCGAAGCTTAACTTTTGGAGGTGACTTCAACCAAAGCTTGGAGAATGTAAAGTTTCCCGAATGCCTTGAAAGCTTAACTTTCGGACGTGCCTTCAACCAGAGGTTGCACAGGGTGAAGTTTCCGGATGTCCTTCAAAGCTTAGTTTTCGGAAATGACTTTAACCAGAGCTTGGAAGTGCATGTGGCACAATTCAAGCTCCCGCAAGGCCTTCAACATTTGGCCTTTGGATGCAAATTCAATCAAAGCCTGACTAAAGTGCAGCTTCCTCACACCCTGCAAAGCTTAGCGTTTGGATACTTCTTCAATCAGAGCTTGCAGGACGTGAAGTTTCCAGATGGCCTTCAAAGCCTAGCTTTTGGAGATAAGTTCAATCAGAGCTTGCAGAACGTGAATTTTCCGGATGGCCTTCAAAGCTTAGCTTTCAAAGGTGAGTTCAACCAGAGCTTGGAGAATGTGCGGTTTCCGGACAGCCTGCAAAGCTTAGCTTTTGGGGAAAGATCCAAACAGTCTTTGGACAATCTAATTTTTCCGCACGGCCTTCAAAGCTTAGCTTGCGGAGCATGGAGCTTTGAGAATGTGAAGTTTCCAGACAGCCTTCAAGGTTTGGCTTTTGGAGATGAGTTCAATCAGAGCTTGATGTGGGGATGTTTTCCAGAGAGCCTTCAAAGTTTGGCTTTTGGAGATGAGTTCAATCAGAGCTTGATGTGGGGATGTTTTCCAGAGAGCCTTCAAAGCATAACTTTCGGGAGATCCTTCAACCAAAGCTTGGAGAAGGTGAATCTTCCGCACAGCCTTCAAAGCTTAGCTTTTGGGCATTGTTTCAACCAGAGCTTAAAGAATGTGAAGTTTCCAGATAGCCCTGCACACTTAGCATTCGAAGGTTTCAACCAGAGCTTGCTGGATGTGAACTTTCCAGATGGCCTTCAAAGCCTAGCTTTGGGAGATGCCTTCAACCAGAGCTTGCAGGACGTGAAGTTTCCGGATGGCCTTCAAAGCCTAGCTTTTGGAGATAAGTTCAATCAGAGCTTGCAGAACGTGAAGTTTCCGGATGGCCTTCAAAGCTTAGCTTTCGAAGGTGAGTTCAACCAGAGCTTGCAGAACGTGAAGTTTCCGGATGGCCTTCAGAGCTTAGCTTTCGAAGGTGAGTTCAGCCAGAGCTTGGAAAACGTGGAGTTTCCAGACGGACTTCTAAGCTTAGCCTTCGGATCCTTCTTCAACCAGAGCTTGCTGAATGTGAGGTTTCCTGATAAACTTCGAAGCTTAGCATTCTCGACTACAACGATATTTACCCAGAGCTTGGATAATGTGCGGTTTCCGGACAGCCTTCAAAGCTTAAGTTTCGGAGCCGCGTTCAACACAGTCCCCTTGGAGAATGTGCAGTTCCCGGACAGCCTTCAAAGCTTTGCTTTGAGAGGCTTGACGGTAGTAGTATTTTGAGCTTGGCTGCTGGATTTATGTTCACCCAGAGCTTGAACCATGCGCAGCTTCCGTGCAGCAATCTCAGTATGTTTGAGCTTTCTCGCATCGTCCGAGTTAGCGAAAGAGCCCAAAACGTTGGCCAATGGTCCCTTGGTAGCATACCATCCAAGGAAAAGGTGTGACGTTGTGCCTGCCCCCTGTTCTTTGCTTATGTGAAGTATTTGCGGCAGTATATAGGCTTGTTTGATCACAAATTTGACCCATATGGTTTTGGAGAAAGTGGCAAAGAGATCAAATCCCCACCCGAGCATCTGGAAATTCAGCTCGACCTGAGACCCTTGAGCCACAAGATGGTGGAGACATCAAGGATCGAGTGACGTGATGACAGACATTTCAAGTTCCTGCAACATTCTGAGACACTGCACATGTGGACGATTTGCCCCTTCATCACATGGACCTTCACACGTTGCATACCGCCCATACCCGATCGAATCATCGCTGGCGATGTCGTGCCTGTCACTCGGATGTTGCCGCCCCGGCTCGAAGAAGACCACCAGGGCACTTCAGTCAGATCATGTGGGAAGCCCCGTCAGTCTCAAGGGCCAGTCATTCCTTCTGTCGCACGCATGTTCCTCCTCCTTCAAAAGGTGTGGCCTGACGGACAGTCAAACGCCTGTCGCACGCATGATGTGGTTTCAATGACTGCGACAAGCGGCCAAACTAACCAAAGCAAACGAAACCGAACATCATCTCATATCACTTTTCATATGTCCAAGGTGTTCCACATGTCTTTTTTACGGTCTATGCTGATCGCAGCGACAAGTTCATCGATCAACATCCACAGACCACGCGACATCACACGACCAAGTACGGCGACACCTGAACGATGATCACGACATGGTCCAAACAGCGACTCGGAGAGCGAACTGAGCGAAGCGAGGTACACGAGGTAGACCCTGAGACCCTTAAGAAGCTGCCGTCTCCATAAGACCTCCCCACTTGACACAGCCAAACAGAGATAAAACATCACGAAGCTGCACATCGTTCGCTTGTCTGGCACACGAAAACACAACCCGCTAAAGGGGGGCCGGGCGCCCGGGCGCCCTGCCCTGGGCGCACCGGGGTGTCACTTCCCCAATGCCATGGTCTACTACCTTCTGGTCGTGGATCCTTCCAGTTCGGTGACCTCTTGCGCTTCCAGCGGTCTCTACGAGCGTGGCCCGTCCAGCGCTCGGGCGGGGCACGGAAGCGGCGCCGGCGTGGCCGGCGTGACCTCGGTGGATGTCGTGGAGGCCGCGGTGGGAGGATGCGAGGGTGTTCCGGCGCGCCGCGAGACGCAGCGCAGGGAGGTGGTTGACTGGAAACGAGAAGGAGAGTCACTTCAAGTGCACGTCCTACCAGGACCCCCTACTGTCACCACCTGCGATTTTTGCAAAAGCCTCCAGAAGAGACCTGTTGGAAGGTGCTGGTATACATAGCTTTGCAGGCTTAAATTTATCTAGCATTTGGGAATACAGGCTTCTGTGTTGTTCTGAATAGATCTGAATAGTTCTATGATGGAAGATTAGTTGTTTGTAATGATCTGAGATGATCTTGCCAGATGACAACTGTTGTTTGTGTTCTACACATTGTTCACTTTGTTCCATATGTTGAGGAAGGTGACGGAAGGTGCAAGGACGACGCCGAAAGAGGCCGAAAGAGCGGAGCGCTCGACCAGCGAGCTGCGTAAAGGGACTAGCTTTGGTGGGACACCCCCCAAATGGGGGGGCTTTGGTCTTCTTTTGTCAACCCTTTTTTTCTATTACCCAGGAGTCTCAGGCCAACAACACCTTTTTGGGAAGGGATTGGGGACACCCCACACACACCACACATCCAACTGGTGGAAAGCTGGTGTTTTAAGCTATATTTTCCAGGGACACATCTTGTTGTTGTTTTTTTTCAGACTCTTCTCTCTTTCCAGGACGAACTGAAGAATGACGGAAAACAAAGGGCGCGGAGTCTGTTCAAGCGGTTCCAATACCAACGGAAAAGCGGGTGGATCTAGTCCCATCCGACGTGGATACCTGGACGGCCGGGGAAACCACCCCGAAACAGAGAAATGCCTCCAACAGTAGCAGACCAGTGCAGTCCCAGTAGCAGATGTGTGTCTTATGATGTCTTATGAAAGTAAACCTTTAGGAAACCATCTTGCAGGAGCGCAAACCGAGCTCAGAAGGCAGAAACGAGCTTGGCCGAAAGGTTCGTGATGGTTTCTAGAACCGATGGTAACGACTGCCACTGCCTTCTCATTGGGAACGACCCTTTGGTCCCGCCGTCGGTCTGGACCCTTCAGGTGAAGGGACTCAAAATCTTCCGTGCCATTGGCGCAGGAGTCCGAGCGTCTATACGCGGCTTCCCAAAAGCGTCTGGTGGAGGGGAATGTGAACCACATCCTGATGCAGAACCCCCCTTATTGAGTTGAGTGGGTGACTGAAGGCTGAGATGGTTGCCCAAATTGTTGCCAAGAGGCCGGGTGTATGGCCAGGGAGTATGCTGGCGGCCGGCTAGCACATGCCAGGAATTTGGCAGACGCATATAGGGAAGGAGACCCTTGTCCTCAAAGAAGCTTGTTTGCACCAAAAAAGGTTGCACATGTTAACAAGAATGACACAACGGGTTGCACAAGGCTTCAGTTGTTCAAACAAGCTTGGTGTCAGCACATGTTCCTTCCTCTTGCAGCGAAGCCTTTGACACTGTGAGGCTACCCTACCCGAAACAAACATTGGAAGCGGACTCCTGTTTTGTGGGGGTTCCGCTTCCATGATTTTTGGAGGGTATACTTTGGCACATACGACACACGTCCCTGAGCGAGGCTGCTTGATGTTCTGAGTTGGATCTGGTCGTCACGTCGGGGTCTGGCTGTGGTTGTGGCCATATGCAGGGCATTCTCAGACTTGGAGAAGACCGAACCATGACTCTAGCCCCAACTGAATTCCCGTGATAGAATACAGAACAGAACTACAAGAGAGATGTTCATTGCGACTCTGAAACAGACTAACTAATAGAACGTTGACTGCAGGAATGTCTACTAGCTTGACCAGGGGTGTCTAGCTTCAGATGCTTCAGGTTCTGGTTTGGCATGTGTTTGTTTTTGTTCCCAATATCCCAGCAGTGCACTTGTTGAATTAAACATGTGAAGGGCAAGTTGCCTCACGTTCCTTCACCAGGTCGTGCGCCCTCGTCGTTTCACTCTCCTTCACCAGTTCGTCGCCCAGCGCCGCGGGTTCCGTTCGGGACCGAGTCGTGAATCCCGCTGACCACTCCGTCGCGGTCAGGAGCGGGCTTGGAAGATGCGTTGCCCATTCAGAGGACAGACGACGTGAGAATCAAGGGATGTTGTTCGCCATCAAGGGAACTGTGGAAGGGATGCTGTTCTCTCTATAGTACTTAATCGGCCGAACTGATGCCACGACGTCATTCCTCCGAATCGAGGGGCCCAAGCTCCATGGACACGTGGAAGATCGGAGAAGAAAGGCCAGGGGTGCTGGAAAAGGAGTGCCGATCGGCGAAGAGCATCTGAAATCCAGAGATATCCAGAGTCAAACCCGCAAGAACCATGGTGGGCGACTGGAATCCGATAGATACACCCTAGAAAATACACATGGAGCCTGATGGCATGGACCAGACTGGAAGACTTTTTTCCTTTACAACCCAGTGGTTTTCAGGTTCCATGTTAATCTTCCAGGGTGTATATCTATACTACATGGAGCATTGGGGCTCGAGGTTGTCCTGGTCGTGTTTTGCTTGGACAAAACCACTGCACGACTTTGTTTTGGGTGTTGAAAGGAATGGATAGCACATAGGTACTATGACATCTCGATGAGCTATTGCAGGTAGCCAGACCCCAAAAGAGGACCTTTGACCTGGGCTTCGCATACACAGACAGCACAGCAAAAAACCAACAGAGGTTGAAGAACCCTAGAGACTATCCCATATAGGTACCCTACCAGGGTCCTATAAGGTCACTTAACCTCTCTTGGAATATTGTAGTGTTCCCTCTCTTGACTAGTTTTGTTTTCATCCATTAACTGCCATTAACAGTAGGGCTGCAATGCATCTCTCAAGGCCTGTGGTTGTTTCTTGTTCCCCAGCACCATCCAGCACCCCAGGACCAGTGCATTGCTCATGGCTGCCTGGACGAGCACTCGTGCGATGGGTCCCACACACCAAGCAATTTCAGGTGAGCTGAGCTTTCTGTTTTACATGAAAGGATATATACCAGCACCACCCAAAGGGTGGTTATTGGATAGAACATACTAATACTCCCTTTCAGATTCTAGGGGTTTTACATCGACCGACGAAAGCGTAAGCACGGTTTTTCTACGTGTATTTGCTGCGACAAATTCCGAAAAGGGACTATCCAAAAAGGACGCACATGACGTATGAAAGTACACGTGAGGTTAAAACACTCACCTTCTTAAATGAACCCGTCTTGATATATTGTATAGCCGTCCCATCGAGTGTTTGGGCCGGAAAGTCCATCGTTTTAAGAGGCTTCCAGAATACTTGACCAAGGAAATGTCCTGTTGACCTGGACTTCTAGGGTGCTTTCATGTCGATTGTACTACATGTGCGTGAAAAAGCACTTCTGGGGACATGTGACTGTGAAAGCTTAGTGTGCCACTCCTTTGGAACTCCTGGTAGATGTTGGAGAATCATGGTCATATAACTGGAGGGAACCTCCCGTGAACCAGGGTTTCTGTGAGGGGTTCAGGAGTGGCTCAAGGAGCAATCCCAGTCTTACATGACATGAGGATATGAGGATATAATTCGGATGACTCCAACAGAAAGGGGACCTCTCTGAAAAAAGTTAACAACTATTTCTTAAAACACACCTTACCCCAGTAGAGCAACTTAAACACATAGAAACCATGTCCAGTCCACACATTCCAAGACACGTTCCAGTGCGGATTCCTGCATGTGTTCATGACTGAAATCACGCAAAAGAAAGGGAAACGGGTGACCAACAGACCAAACAAACATGCCAACAGACCTCCCTTCATCGTGCCCAGACATCCGAAGTGCCTGGTGCCGCGTGCCCACCCAGGTGGCGGTGCCTTCCGAGATGTCGGTGGAAGAGCTTCAAAGCTTCCTGCCTCGAGAAGGGCAATGTGCGTGTTCAGATGAACATATGTAGGGCCCTCCATATGAACTTCCTGCATCATGTATACCATATCCCAAGCACAATAGGGCCCTCCATAGCAGCGTGTTCAGCTGGACACACACCCTGGGCCCGACTCGGCTGCGGTTCGGACCTGTTCCCTCCCATAGCCAGAGGTCCGGAAACGCAGTCGAAACGGGTGTTGTGACGTGGGACTTGGACCCCCCAAAACAAGCGACGGGAAAAGGACAGCACTGGAAATCCTTCATCAAAATTGGAGCTATCAATGAGATCATGGCCCTTGGGCGTTCTTGACTGGCACTGAGTGAGGTCCTGGTGCCCCGTACCAGGACCTGGACCGTTCATGACCTCGAACTGGAGTGTTTGTTTGTGACCTTGGAGTGTTTGTTTGTGACCTTGGTGACCTCTTTGGAGGCTTAAGTGACCTCATCCTGAGATCTCAAGGACAGTTTCTTGCGGTTACGTTGAAGGTCCGTTGGTACGACGACTGATCCATGTTCGGCCGGCAAAGTGGATTGATCGCCCCCAAGAAGCTCCAAGTTGACCAAGCTCATCCCATGTTGACTCAGAGGGGGTAGAGAGATGGTGACTCCGTTCCGAACGCCCGCGTGGCCGAAAGACCACGGAAGTCCTAGAAGCCCGGTGTTGCATGTTGTTTTTGGAAAGGAAGAGTATGGTGTTGCTTGGTGTAGTCACCAGTCAGGCGACCCCTGAATTGCAGGTGGCTTAGAAGATTATGATTAGTTCCTTGCGGTTGGTTGAGTTTTCGGGGAGGTGTCTAGGTTTGTCGGTGGAACGTTAAGTGACTATCACCACACTGTGTTTTTGTCAATCTCCGCATGCTGGCGAGAATATCATGCTTTCCTGGAGCATCTAGACTATATTATATCGTCAAGCTTTATCCTGAAGATTTAATCACGAAAGGTAGCTTGAGCTACCTGAGTTCTCCTTGCTTTAGCAAAAATGTATTACAATCAGGAGTTGGGATTGTGCATTGAGTTTGGTCCTGTAAGAGTTGATTCTGTTCGTCGGGGGGGGGTGCCCCCCCCCTGGATCAAATCCCCCCTGCGCCGGTTCACGCCGTCATGGACTTCTACCAGGGTTGCTTGTGATTGCCTGCTACCTTTCGTTCACCCCCTCCTCTCTCAAGTGAAACGGTCAAACAAAGAAAGAGTTCCAAATACAATTTATTCTTGCACTTCTCATGACTTCTCAATGAATCAGAGATTTGATGAGATTTGCACTCTTGTCACATTGCACACATTTCATAGTAAGTCAGTTTAAACATCGAACATCCTAACCCAGCCACTCCAAGGGACTTGTATATTTACATCCAGAAACAACTACCCCTTCCAATGACTCATGAACTACCCCGGTGGTCATAATCCACCAAGAAGCTGTAGGGTTAAATGAGTCAGAACTGGACTCTCAGGGACCAAAACGACCGCGGACGGCGACGCCGAAACAAGGCTTCCTCTCACCTGGCGACGCCTTAGAGGCTTTGCGGGTCACCTGACAGCAATGGGAGAAGATGGGAAGAGAAGAATCCGTGGTGGCGACGGACCTGACCTTTTTTTCTCCAGGAGTTCCGGGCCGAGTCGTGGTCGTCCGGCTCGGCTCAGAACATGCAAGAAGCACCGGCTTCGGCGACTCACCTCCGAAGTCCATGGAAGTCCTGGCTTCTGAATACCACAGTACTCGATGGTTCTGAAGAGAAGAGTCGTCTTTCTGAATCAAGCCGAGAGGAGAATCTTCTGCGTTTTCTTTTTGAAGAGATTCTTCTTCCTCGTCACCTACGAGTGATTGCGAGCCTCCGAAAGGGAGTGCCGCTACGGAAACGCAGCACCAGGGGGGTTGCCCTTGTGGAGAGGAGGGTAATTGAAGGGCTGCCGCCCAGTGCCGCCCACCCCAGGAAGGGAGACAAAAGAGGTGTGGGGCGGACAGAAGGCATGGTGACGCGTGGGTGGTAGCGCAGAACACATGGGGACACCGGGGCGCGCTGCATCGGCTACGTGGAGTCCCCAATGTGAGGAGGGGGCAGGGAGGGGGTAAGCATTAGAGATATTAAAGGGTGTGGGGCAGACAGAGGGCATGGTGACCCCACGGTGTGCTGCATCGGCTAGGTGGAACCCCCATGTGGATATTCAGGGGCTGGAGGACGCAGCAGGGACGGGGCCATGGCAGTGTAGACGGGGTAGAAGTAGAGGGCGCAGGCAAGAGGGATGAAGTGGGAGACACAAGGAACGGAGTCCCTATGGTCCCTGTGTGGAGGTTTACTCGGGGTGGCAGTGGGACATGGCGCCAGTATAGGGTGCAGGCAAGAGATGAGGTAGGTGGTAGGGGTGACGAAACAGCCTCCTGCCGTCCCTCTGCCCGGGCAAAACGTCACTCCTAAACACAAATGAAAAAATCAAGGGTCTGGCAAGCTTCCACTGTTAGTTCCAAGCACAGAAACCAAGCCACAAGACACCCGTGACGGAACAGTCTCCTGCCGTCCTACAGCCTCCGTCCCTCTGCCCGGGCCAAACGTCACTCCTGAACAGAATGAAAAAATCAAGGTTCTGGCTGGCAATTCCACTGTTCCATGCGCAGAAACCAAGCCGCAAGACACCCTTCAAATCAGGAAAACACCCTGGCACGGCGTGACGGAACAGTCTCCTGCCATCCCTCTGCCCGGGCCAAACGTCACTCCTGAACCGAATGCAAGGGTCTGGCAGGCAATTGTTCCAGGCACAGAAACCAAGCCACAAGACACCCTTCGAATAGGGAAAACACCCTGGCACGGCGTGACGGAACAGCCTCCTGCCGTCCCTCTGCCCAGGCCAAACGTCACTCCTGAACCGAATGAAAAAATTTAGGGTCTGGCAGGCAATTGTTCCAGGCACACAAACCAAGTTACAAGACACCCTTCAAATCAGGAAAACACCCTCGGCTTGACGGAACAGCCTCCTGCCGTCCCTCTGCCCGGGCCAAACGTCGCTCCTGAGCCGAATGAAAAAATCAAGGTTCTGGCAGGCAATGCCACTGTTCAAGGCACAGAAACCAAGCCACAAGACACCCTTGAAATCAAGAAAACACCCTGGCACGGCGTGGCGAAACAGCCTCCTGCCGTCCCTCTGCCCGGGCCAAACGTCACTCCTGAACGGAAAGAAAAAATCAAGGTTCTGGCAGGCAGGCAATTCCAGCGCAGAAACCTAGCCACAAGACACCCTTCGAATAGGGAAAACACCCTGGCACGGCGTGACGAAACAGCCTCCTGCCGTCCCTCTGCCCGGGCCAAACGTCACTCCTGAACAGAATGAAAAAATCAAGGTTCTGGCAGGCAATTCCACTGTTCCAGGCACAGAAAGCAAGCCACAAGACACCCTTCGAATCAGGAAAACACCCTGGCACGGTGCGACAAAACAGCCTCCGGTCCAAAGGTCACTCCTGACCGGAATGAAAAAATCAAGGTTCTGGCCGGCAATTCCACTGTTCCATGCGCAGAAACCCAGCCACAAGACACCCTTCGAATCAGGAAAACGCCTGGCACGGCGTGACGAAACAGCCTCCTGCCGTCGCTCTGCCGGGCCAAACGTCACTCCTGAACCGAATGGGAAAAATCAAGGGCCTGGCAGGCAATTGTTCCAGGCGCACAAACCAAGCCACAAGACACCCTTCAAATCAGGAAAACACCTTGGCACGGCGTGACGGAACAGCCTCCCAACCAAGCCACAAGACACCCTTCAAATCAGGAAAACACCCTGGCACGGCTGCCGTCCCTCTGCCTGGGCCAAACGTCACCTGAGCCGAATGAAAAAATCAAGGGTCTGGCAGGCAATTGTTCCAGGCACACAAACCAAGCCAGGAAAACACCCTGGCACGGCGTGATGGAACAGCCTCCTGCCGTCCCTCTGCAACCAAGCCACAAGACACCCTTCAAATCAGGAAACATCTTGGCACGGCGTGACGGAACAGCCTCCTGCCGTCCCTCGGCATGCCCGGCCAAACGTCACTCCGAGCCGAATGAAAAAATCAAGATTCTGCCAAGCAATTCCACTGTTCCAGGCACAGAAACCAAGCCACAAGACACCCTTCACATCAGGAAAACACCCTGGCACGGCGTGACGAAACAGCCTTGTGCCTGAACGGAATGAAAAAATCAAGGTTCTGGCAGGCAATTCCACTGTTCTTTCGAATCAGGAAAACACCCTGGCACGGCGTGACGAAACAGCCTCCTGCCGTCGCTCTGCCCGGCCGGGCCAAACGGTGACTCCCGAACCGAATGAAAAAATCAAGGTTCCGGCAGGCAATTGTTCCAGGCATACAAGCAAAGCCAAAAGACACCCTTCAAATCAGGAAAACGCCCTGGCACGGCGTGACGGAACAGCCTCCTGCCGTCGCTCTGAAAGGGCCAAACGTCACTCCTGAACCGAAAAAATCAGGGTCTGGCAGGCAATTGTTCCAGGCGCGCAATCCAAGCCACAAGACACCCTTCAAATCAGGAAAACACCCTGACACTCTTTCCATGCCTCAGCCAAATGGCCTTCACAGGCTTAGATCTTCTCTGCCAGGTTCTGGCCCCTGAGCTTTTCCACATCACTTTTGTTCAAGACTTTGGAAAAGCCATCCTGGTGCTTGTCAGTGGAAGCCATGTTTGCCCAAAGTGCAACTCTGAGGTGTGGGAAGACTTGGCCTGGCACTCTGAAATTGGTGGTGGCAATGGCTGACATGAGCTCTGCACCAATCATCAGCTGGCAGCTGAAGTATTTGCCTCAATGGAACACCATTGTGTATTGCCAAAACATTGCATCGCCAAAAACTGCAAAGCAATATACACTGCAACATGTCAAACATTGACACCAAAAAATGACACCAACAAAGTTGGCAAAGCATTTGGCAAGATGCTGAACCGCTGGAGGAAGGCTATCAATGGACATGTTTCCCCACCTGCATAATGCTGGACAAAGTAGGCGATGGAGTCCAAACTGTCCTGGCATGCAATGGCACCATCTTTGGCTTTTGCCAATGCCTGGTTCAAAGTCATCCCACCTTGGAAGAACTGTGCCAAAGTGGCTGCCACTTCCAGCTCATTGGCAGCTTTGGCAATGGCATTGGAGCTGTTCAATGCACATTGGAAAATACCTGGCAACATTGGCCAAGCTTCCTCCACCTGGCTGGACAAAACCAACCACTGCCATCCATTCTGGATCAAATCCCTGCATGGGTCTGACTTGGTGATGTCGAGCTTGTCACCCACTGG